TTGTCTACCTTCCAATTACTATATACCTTTGTCACAACAACGGTACATTTCTTTATTAATTTCAATGTAATACATAGTGCCTATATCCAATTTATTAAGGTTTTAATACAAAATTTTATAACCAAAATCCTTATAGATAAAAATTTTATCAAAAAGATGTGGCTCATTATACTTATCAAAACACAAGCCTATTTCATATTATTAAAAACTTTGATTGCGTTGTTGAAAAAAATTTTTTTGTTTTACCTTTTACCATAGAATTAATCCAAATACGATCCTGTAGTCACGAGCAATTTTATGAGTTCTATCCTTACTTTGTGTTTTTAAATTTTAATATTCCTTAATTCTATACTATTATTTCTTAACAAGAATATAGATTTTTTAATCAAAATCACAGAATTACTAAAAAATTAAGTTCTCAAAAATATTAATAATTATTATTTATGATTATATTTTGTTTTTAAATTCTACCAATCAACAATGCGTATATGTGATTGGCATTTAATATAAGCATTTTATTTATTAATTTAAGTTAATAAAATATAAAACTAGGACACTCTCTATAACCAAATCTTCAGGCTTGAGTAATATTTTCCCTTATAAAATATTGAGTTAGTCGTTTTTAAAAATCGAGCCGTTTAACAACACTAGGTATCACAATATAATTTATAACAAACAGTAAACTTAAAAAATAACATTTGAATAGTAATATAAAAAATCAATATATTTTTAATTCAACTCTTTCTAAGCTTTAAAAAATTTATGAAAATTGGGATATTTTTGTCCGAAATAAGATGTAATACTAATTGTACCTCTAGAAAAAAATTATTTTTTAGGAAATGACTAAGTAAACAACCAACCATAATCTTAAGCATACAGATAAATATCACCACTTTTTAATATATTAACTTTACTCCGATCTAGTGACATTTTCAACCTTACCCCTAATCTAGTTCAATAGGTCACTTTCCGAAAAAATAATGATCCTTCATTATGAAAATATTAAACACATACCGATAATCCTTACTTTAGCATATGAACAAATCATTAAACAATTATATGACCAAATCATTAAACAATTTTTTACTATATAAATATTAATCATATCCCATACCCTTCTACTTCTCCTTATCTAAAGGTGATAAGATATAAAAAAAATTTTAAAAGAATCATGGGTGATAGGGCTAATTTTTTTAAATTCTCTTCGTCTAAATACAAACACTAACCATTTTCTTGGTTGCATAGCTCAAAGCTAACCGTTAACACGAAACAAGAGCTCAGCATCAGGTTTTGGATTGATCTATGTAGTTCGACAAAACTAAAAGCAACTTATTGGCACATTCGTGTGCTCAGCAATCCTAAGAATCTAGATTTTACTTAATGTAGTGGGTGAGGTGTCTTATAAAATAATATTTCTCTTCATCTAATATAAACCTCTCTTTTTGTTGCATGACTCTAAGCACTATTAATGCAATCAAGAGCCTGGTTCAGTCCTTAATCTGAACGACGTAGCTTGCTGAAATCCAACAGATACTTAGGGGTGCTGAGCAGCGTAGGTTTAGCGTCTATAAAATTATGTACTTTGCATAATCTAATTTTATAATTATATTAACTCTAGCCCACGTCAAGCCTTGCCATGAACCGCGTAGTAATACATCTAGCTAACGTCTAAACATTTCCCCAATACTCAAAAGATTTATGTAAAAGTGTGCAGCGGCTGCGCATTATCATTAATTAATGAAGAATGAAACATGTGTGCAAAAAATTACTAATTTTTTTAAAGCTTTCTTTGTTCGGTTTTTGTACAATGTCTTTTTGTCTTGGGTACTTTGACCTTGTCCAAGACACTTTAACCGATTATTAATTATATTTAATAGTATAATACTTTTGTTCCGATTGTTTGTTTGCATTTAACTGAATTAATAGAACTATTATCATATTAGAAATAGTAATTATGTTGGAATCATATTATTAGGACGAATTATGTTTGTTAGCATTATATAGATTACAAGAGAAACCCTTAAAAATAAAGAGATTTATAAGAGAATACCGAAACAGATTCTTATGATAAAATACCAGTTATTGGAAGAAGACTATTTCAATAGTTAGGGATTTCAGGTAGGCTAATCAATTACAGATACCGCCTCTAATTTTATCAAGTATTTATTTAATATGGTATAAAATTGAATGATGTTGACATGATTATGAAGACTTATTAGAATTTAGTGAAATATGAAATAAAATAATTTTACCCAGGTTCATTAGGTAGTCCTGCCACTTTATTTTTCCATTAACGATAGTCATTCTACAATATCAAACTCATATGAATTCAATGGAGTAATTGGGAAAATATAAAAAACTATGTAATGCGTGTGTAAGACTCATATCATCAGAAAAGATATTGAAGGTAACGGGTAATAATTGAAATTTCCATGCATAACGTAGAATATCGTATACAATTATGACTATTTAAATTTATTTAAAATAATTGATATACTATCTTTAATAGATATAAATATTTTCTTATATTGAAGCGTCCTATAGTTTTAAACCCGGTAACAATTGCATTTGACAAATTGCAAGGGTAAAGCACTTCATTTTATTTTGGTTAGGTAGATCTTATGTAAACTTAAAAATTCAAGTTTTCAATATTGTCTATCTTTATTAAAGCGTTATTTTTTTTTATATGATGAGGTATCTTTGTGGTCCATACTTTAAGAACTTATGGATTGAGTCGGATAATAAAAAAAATTCCTTCAAAGTTTTTATAAAAGCCCTAAATGTAGTAGTACTTTATCAAATTACAACCCACTAGATTTAACATCTATTAACCAATAAAATGGTGATTATTTTTTCTATATAAATTATATCTTAGATGACAATCATAATAAGAAAATTTTATCCATGATAAGTTAAAACTTAAATAATTTATAGCGTGCGTTAATTTAAACCCTTTAGCAGCAATCATATTCCAGCCTCAACCCATTAATTTCAGATAATTTTACGATGAGGATTAATATATAAAAAAGGCATAAATAAAAATATTTAAATTTTCATGGCTACATTATCTGAAACCTACATGGTTGGTATTCTAAGCATAGCTGGAATAAGCTTCGGGTACTATCACGCCTTTCAAAATTAAAAAGCGCGCGCCATAAATGATTCAATTTTAATAATTTACATCAATAATTATATTTTTAATATAAGCACAATAAAACCTAATAATTTTTGTCTTTTTTGCAAAAAATAAAAAAAATATATTTTGCCCTCCCTTGTAATAAATCCTGCGGGCGCCTTTGGGTATAGATCAAGGTTATTTTTAAAATCTGGTTGACTTTTCCAATCCTATGTTTTAGTAATGATTCGACCAAAAAAACGGCGGATAAATGGCCTGATGGAAAAAACTGCAGAAAAATAAACTGAGGAAAAAAATCAAAAAATGCATAAGAATAAAAACTGTAGATTATAATGAAGGGAAAATAAAATTAAACATGAAACAAAAAATATTCTATTTTAAAACATTTTGGTGACTATTTTTTGATAAATTTAAATTGGATATTATTATCTGATAAAATAAATGTAAAAAATAATTAAATGACAACCTTTTTTAGCGGAGAAAATTAACAGATTGGCTTACTAGTTTCTTTTACTATATAAAAAATTAAACACTCGTATGAAAACTAAAAATTATGGCAGGTATAAATGTACTTTTTACACACAAAAATGTCTGTGCAAAATAAAATATCTCAGCTACAGCGACATACAGAACCTCTTTTCTGGCGATGTGGTTGTTTACTACCCTCCACCCCCCCCTTCCAGTAATTACGGTCCTGTATAAGTTAGAAAGAAATCTCTTAAAAAACTGGTGGAATAATTTACAGGACATTGGGCAATAGATACGCTCGGCAATTATCTTAGAATAATTTATATATTTTATTATAAGAGCTGAATTATATTATTGACATCAAATTTTTTCAATCTTCTTTTCATTTTTAAAATTAAAATCGATTGTTTGAAATATCTTACAACATTTGTTCTGCAATACTGCATTATACAAACATAATTAAATATATAAACTTTAGTTCTAAACCATAAATATTACCATAAAAAGGAAGGGATCTGGAATGGACAAAATTTTTATCGTTATTTAATTTAAAATAACTTTTGTAAAAAAGGTATAATTCTAATATTTATGATATCTACTTTAGGTCTTTATCGAAGCTCTGATGGTATACATTTTATTATATTAAAAAAATATCAGATACTTGCAAAGGTCAAAATGATTTAAAATTATTTTCGGCCTGGCAATAATTTTGAAAAAATAGGCCAGACGATGGTTTGACTAACCTTCATTCACAGTTAGCGCGAATTCGTGGAGAGAAGAAAGAAAATGCAAAAATAAATGTAAAATATTTACATTATATTTTGTATACCTCGCCGCGAATTCGCGCTGAATATAGGGTAAAAGCTCTACAAATTTAAAGCAATTAATTCTTAAACTATAATAAATATATAATAAACTATTATTAAAAAAAATTTAATGTTATCAGATATAATAATATCCAATTACAATAGTCACCTTAAAAATGTTTCCATTTTATTTAAAATAGCATTTTTTGTTGGAAGTATATTTTCCTTTTAATAATACATATTTTTTCCACAGTTTTTTATTTTTAAGTTTTTTCAACAGTTTATTTTCTCTTAAGATTTCTTTTCTGTCAATCGAGATTTTTTTTCAAAGGCTTTTTTTCTTGGATTTATTTAGAGGTAGTTTTATTTTATATTATAATATTTTATAGATCGCATGTGGCTGAAGGAAAATAAACATTTATGAAAAAGTCCACAAATCAAACCAACTATTACAGCAAATGAAATGAATTTTTATAAATTAGCATGAAAAAATAAGATGATAAATTGAAATTTTATGATAACGCAATATTATGTTGTATTAGTATTAATTCATTAATAAATATTATTTTAAAATGTACACTTTTATAAAATACGTCAAGAAATCTTTTTTATTACAAGGATCTCAAAAACATTCAAATAGAAAATAATTTACAGGATATATGATTATTATTTGTAAGTATTTGTTATGGTATACATTTTAATAAAATCCTCAATTTTATCTAAATTTAAATTTTTAATTGCCTTGTCATAGAGAAAATAATCTTTATCAAACATATAATTCTTTTGTTCACGCTTAAATATAATATAATCCATCCATAAGGTTGGCTCTTCTTGACCAAAATTTCGCAAGGCATCACAAAAGATTTGTTCGAGTAACTTATCATGTTGAAATTTTTTGGTGGACAAATTTAGAGAAATTTTAAATAATTCTATAGTTTTACGAAACAATTCGTAAGTGTATGGTCTATTTCGAAGACAATCCTCATATATTTTCGACGCGCTGTCTATTCCTTTCTTTCCCCATAGATATTCTAAATAAAATAATTTAATGGGCACTAACACTTCCGAGCATGATAATGTTGTCAAAGCTTTGGCGATTAAATAATGAAATTGGTCTTTGCCTTCTTGATTATCTAGAATCATAAGATTATTTTCAAATGATGTTTCGTTTGCCCATCGTAGAACAAGGAGCCATATATTTAGTGTTTGATTTTCTTTCAGATTGAGTAAGGCATTATCAAATATCCTAAGCAAGTCATCGTTATTTATTTTGTTGATATTATATTTTATATAAATTTGCCAAAAAAGAGGACAATTCGGATATAACTCTATACTTTTTTTAATAGCTTGCCTTAAAAAATTTCTTTTCCCTTTAAAAAATGTTAAATGCTCAGTAAGATGAAGTTCGTTCGATGTTTCGTACACAATTTGTAAAAATCCCAAAAACCTTTCCCAACAAAATTGCGAATTTGGCAAATTTAACTGATTCAATAATATATCACCGATCTCTAAGAAAATGGTATTGCAATGATCCATGACACTAGAATCAATTATAGTTTGATCAACGAAAATTTGTTTATGTTCAAATAAAAATTCTAAACAAAATAATACAAATTTCTCTATCTGTTCTCTGTCGTGATTTTTTAATGCACATCGAATAATCCGCAAAGCCGATAATAATTTATCTGAACCACCATCTCCCTCGATCTCGCCGTTATTCGTGGTAAAATTTTCACCATATTTTACAGTGAGGATTATTTTAGCGATAACAAAATAGTAGATGTTTTGATTGGCATTTATAAACTCTAGAAACCCAGGTAATATTAATTTTTCGGCAAAAGAGTATTCCTTGATTATATTAACGAGATCTAACACAAATTGGGGCCTAGATTTGAGCTCGGAAGTAAGCGCGTGTCTGTAAATAAGGCAAATCATTTCGCCATTGGTGATAGGATCCAATCTAGTTTCTATATCAATATCCATTTTATCTTGATCGATCTGTTGTGTTTCAGAAGCAGCATTTACTACTAGTTTGATCGATGTGCTATTGTTAGATTGCGTACATTTGGATGATTTATTATCGAAAAATAATATTTGGGATCTCTTCCTCATTTTATGACAATATAACATTTCTATTCTAAAATAAGTTAACCATATGAGAGCTGTATTAGTATTGCCGTTATTTATTTTTGAAGATGTTGGATTATGTACTATTTTGTCCTCTTCGTCTGTTTCGATTTCAAAATTTCTTAAAGCTTTTCTTAGGAGCATCCTGACTTTATCAATACAACTCATATCTCTGTCGAATTGCCACGACGCTGCCTCAGCCCAAATCCAAACTTCTTTGGATTGAACACCTATAAGATCACCATAAATTGAAGTAACTTTACCCTCGGCTATAGCCATACGTTTGCCGACCTTCTCAATTTTTCCTAAAATTCTATTTTTATTAATTCCTTTAAGCTTGGTTTCCTTTTTTAATTTTAGACCATTCTCAATATCTTCTAACACGGCAACTCTTTCTTTGGCGAAATCTAAACGTTCTTTCCATATATCTAAGGCTTGTGGATATCTCTTTAATGCTTCTCTATATATCCTATGAATCCTATTGACTATACCGCGTTCTATCAAAGTTTCTTTTAAATGAGCTTTTCTACATGGATTTTGGCTGCTTATATTACTTTTCTTATTAGAGCTTTCAAGACCGGATTTTTTGACGGTAAATTTATTCCTTCTTATTTCGACCAAAGCCAATAGATTTTTTTCATAACTAATGTAATCTAAATAATCACTTTTCGATTTAAGTTTTCGCCGCAATTTATATTCATGTCCCCTCCTCCGATTTATAATCACGTTTACCTCTTTGGTATCAAATAATAAACAACTTTTTAATGATTCAAATTCATTTAAACTTTCTTCTAAGCGCAATTGCACAAATTCGGCCATTGAAGAATATTTGTGGGTATACTAACAAATGATTATATCTAAAAGTAATTTTTTTTTTTGAAATATATTATTTATTTGCAGATATATAAATTTTAAGTAACAAAGTTGAGAGATTTTATTTAAAATAGAAGAGAGCCTTGAATTTATTTAAAATCATGTTCAAATATTATTTATTTTACCCTTTATATAAAAAATACCTTCCTTTTACACCTTAAAATAGTGTAATATTACTTTATTCTATAAAAAAAAGGTAGTTATAAAATTAACTCCTAATAATAATTAGTTATTTTTAGTGCTGTAAATGTTACTTCAAAAAACACGTTACTCGTTAGTCTGGACGCGTTACCGTTACTCGTTTACTTTGTGGAAAAAGGAAAGCGCGTTATTGGCTATTCAAAAAAATAACGGTTATTCGTTACTTAAAAAATTAAATATATATTTTTAAAAATTTCTCTAATATATAATATACAGGGTCTCTCATTCAAAAAAGGAAAAGTCTAATCAAGAAAAGGGTCAATCATAAAAGGAAAAGGTCCGATCAAAAAGGAAAATTTAAAAAAAAAAAATTTTTTATTTGCGTTAAAAAGGATAGTATCAAAAATATAAGTAAGCTATAAAACAGTGACAAACATTAAATACTCCCATCTCAAAAATGGAATAAAATATAGTTTACCCAAAGGAGGTTTATGTACACGCAAGAAATTAAATCAAGAACAGGGAGAATATATATTAAATTGTATAAATTGGATTGCACTTTATCCATAAATAAGTTAAGTGAAATGATTAAAGAAGAAATATCAAAAAATATGGTATCAAGGTTACTATCAGGATTTAGATATAGTTTTAAAAGGGTATCATTATGCTCAGTTAGAGAAAATACAGAATCAAATAACAAGATTCGTAAAGAATATTCTAATTGGTTTGTTGATGTAGCCTTTATGAAAGACAAATTTAACTTTGAGGGCGAGTTTTCAATATCAATGAAGCGGTTATATGGATATTATAAATAAAAAGGCTATTAAAAATGTTCAAGGGATAAAGACAATGAATCATACTTTATCATTGCTGCTTTCACGATTGAAAGGATATTCATATTAGAAGTTCCTTTTTGATCGGACCTTTTCCTTTTATGATTGGCACTTTTCCTGTTTTGATTAAGTCTTCTCTTTTTTTGAATGAAAAACCCTGTAAATAAAACTATGCAAAAAATATTATAAAATAATATTTTATAATTTATAAATGAAATAATACACAATACTATATTATAAGATAAGATATTTGTAATAATTATTTTTAACAATTAATTCTTAAAATTTTGATCAGATAAACAAGAGTGCTTAGTGCTCAACACAGTTTTTGCTGTGCTAAACACACGTTAAACTGCCGCAGAGGGGGGGTTATATTATATTAGATAAATAAAAATTTTAATTGGGGGAATTTATTAAAAATTAAATAATTTTAATTTTGAAAGTTTCGTTCATCGTCAAAAGAATCTTCATTCAGATTCTCATTCAATTTTAATCAAGCCTGCTGTTTCTTAGTGAAGATCTTTTCTCAAACAGAAAATAAGTTCAAGCTTCCTTCCTTCGCTGACATCTTAGTTTTACGAGGATCAATTTGATTTAAGTAGCGGTTAATTATTGCTGATAATATATATTCAATTGAAATAAAATATTATCAAAATATAAATTGTGAACAAATACTTCAACTGTATACCTTTTATTTTTTTCTTTCAGAATTGCATTAATGAGTGACTTACAAAATGAAATTATTTTAAGCCATTTTTTGAATATTATAATAGTTATCGTAGGAGTGAGATTTCCCAAGTGCATTTTTCTTCTCTTTCTAAAGTCGAAAGAGCCGTACTTTCAAAACCTATAAAATCATAGCCATATAATATTCATCTATGAACGACTACTCATTATCTGAAAATCACTGTAATTTAAATTTATCAAAAGATTCGTCAAATTTGTGGTCATTCTCCTAACAAGACTATATTAATTTCACGGAGTTACAAAAATAGTTCCATATTATTATGACCAGTTTAATCAGATATCCATTTTTCCTTAAAAGTGGCTGCACAGTTTGGAAGATGGCCAGGTTTAGACTACAATTGAGTTGAAGACACAATTTACACTTACAAAGTGTAAACTTTTTACCCTCATCTACATCTGAAGAAAATGTACAATTGACATATTATTCTAAATTTACATACATTGATTTATTCAATATAAATTAGATTAACAATCTTGGCTGAAAATTTAAAATAAAAATGAAGGAATTTGGTAATTGATAAAATTTAAAAAATAAATAACGGTAATTTTATAATGCAATAAAATATGGTTTTCCATATTTTTAAATATTTGAATCAAAAAAAAGAAACGCGTTTTGATTACTTTCTGGCGTAGTTATTTTAATTTAAAAAAACTTATTTTGATTTTCAAGAAATTTGTCATTGGACAATTTTTTATAAAATACATATTTATCAAGACATAAAATGTGTGCAATTTTGAGAATACATTTCTGATAGATGCGTGATTTTTGAAGTATAATGGAAGATTTTAATTCATTTGGAAACTGTCTTATTTAGAACCTTAATACTTTCCATTTACTATTTGAATATAATGCAATCAACATGTAATTAATATCAGGTAAATAAAATTAAGCTCTCCTGTCGCTTTTCGGCCTATAGATTAAAAATTTCGATCTTTTTTATATTTGCTTAAAACATTTTCGAAACTATATTGGGCAAGTCACTATTTGTTAATTTTTTATAGAATGTTAGGTTCAATAATTGATTCTAAGAATTTCAAGATTTATAAATTTTTACATTTGATAAATATAGACATTATATCAATATACTTATGAAAAGGTAAAAGAATTTATTTTAAAAATAATAAAGTAGAAGGAGAATGAGAATGACATAGATGAAAGGAAAAAGGGAAGGAGAGTTGTAAAGAAAGGTTAATTTAAATAATGAAAATAAAAGAACTTGAAAGGTGAATAAAAAGGAATTGATATATATTTTTTTTTAAAAGAGATAAGAAATATTGATAAATTAAATGAAGGATGAAAATGTTAAAGAAAAGATAAATAATTTTAGAAAATTTGTTTCATTCATGATAATTAAAAAAGATGAAGTTCCAGAAATTATTTTTTTTAAATAAAAATTTATAAATTTTACATTACAACATAAAATAAGTGAAAGAAAGTAAAGCATGAGTTTAAATGTGTCTATTTTTAGAATTGGGGCATATCAATGGAGGTATTGTCGGATTATTATTAATATAAGTTATTTATTTTTACTCGTAAAATTGGGGATTTCCAGGATATTATTAATAGTTTAAAATATATTTGAATAAATGGCGTAAAATAATAAATTTTTATGTTTTGAAAATAATAATTATTATTTAATCTTTAAATCAATGTGAACCCAAACACTCGATATTTTATTTTGAGAAACTTATACCCCAAACTCTTTTTTTAAATTCATTTTTTTTTTAATTCATTTTTTTTTTAAATTAAATGTAATGTAAATTATTTAAAACTTAATTTTTTTTCATTTCAATATAAAAATATTTTTTGTGAAAATTATTTTTCGTGAATCATTTTTATTATATTTTAGAGTACTCTATTTTATGTAAAAATTTTACCAGATTTTGTAGGTTTATTAAATTAAAAGTAAGACCAAATAAAATAACAAAATCACAAGATAAAATAGCTTTATTAAATGCAAGTTGATTATTAAAGTTAAGCATAAAATATCGATATTTTAATTTTACATCTATCTCAATTATCATAATTCGCTTATAAAGTTATAAAAAACTATGCCTTTTATTATATTGTATTATATTAATTATAATGATAAATTAATTTTATGATAAGTGCTAAATATTAATTTTTTCACTGACCTAAATGATTTACAATCTTTTAACTGTTTCATATAGAGCTTTCCTATTTTCTCTATTTTAGAATGCAAAATATCTAAATGACCATTTGTAGATTTTTGATTTAGTTGCATTTATTTAATTAATTTAAGTATAATATCACCACCTACCCATGAGTAGTTTGATGGAAGGGCCATTATTCCCGTATAAATTTCAAAAGGACCAAATATATAAGTAATTTTATATATTATTTATAGAATTTTGGCATTTAAGTATTAAATTATTAATAGTTATAAATGCAAATTGTTCAATTATATTATTTTTTAGGTGTATGGGATTTTTAATTCTTAAACCAATAATATCCATATGATGTGGTTTTACAAATTGATGATGAATTCTAATTAGTTTATCAATATCATAATTAAACAATATTTGCCTGCTTTGACCTCAAATATTTTTGTATTTATTTTTTATAGTCTCTTTTCTATATTTTAGTATGCAAAATACCTAAATAACCAATTTTTAATTTAGTTGTAATTATTTAATTAATCTAAAAAAAGAGCATCAGTTTTTATATATTTTAAATCAAAAAAATTTGAATATCCAGAATTATATAATACTTGCTGTTCCCACTACACAAGTTTCTAAAAATTTGTGCAATCGTCACAATGAACAAATAAATCCACTAAAATATATTACTTATACATTCGAGAATTTTTAAAAATGAGTTATAATTATTATATATTCTTTTTATATAATATTCATAAAAATAAATTGAATTCATCTATTTTATAAATAAACAATATATTAACCTAACTGGTAACAAAAATTTTAATAAATAATATTCATAATTATGTATTATATTAATTATAATGAAAAATTAATTTTATGATAAGTGCTAAATATAGTAAAATAAATTTAAACATCGTATATTATTTTAATTATGAATATTATTTATTGAAATTTTTGTTACCAGTTAGGTTAATATATTGTTTATTTATAAAATAGATGAATTCCATTTATTTTTATGAATATTATATAAAAAGAATATATAATAATTATAACTCATTTTTAAAAATATTCTCGAATGTATAAGTAATATATTTTAGTGGATTTATTTGTTCATTGTGACGATTGCACAAATTTTTAGAAACTTGTGTAGAGGGAACAGCAAGTATTATATAATTCTGGATATTCAAATTTTTTTGATTCCCAATATATAAAAACTGATGCTTTTTTTTAGATTAATTAAATAATTACAACTAAATTAAAAATTGGTTATTTAGGTATTTTGCATACTAAAATATAGAAAAGAGACTATAAAAAATAAATACAAAAATATTTGAGGTCAAAGCAGGCAAATATTGTTTAATTATGATATTGATAAACTAATTAGAATTCATCATCAATTTGTAAAACCACATCATATGGATATTATTGGTTTAAGAATTAAAAATCCCATACACCTAAAAAATAATATAAAAAATAGATTTGAACAATTT